TTATCCACCTGTTTACTTTGTAGTTGCTGGCTTTCAGATTGGGTCTCAAATCTTTCAGATTGACGTTCTTTTTTTTTGATGATGAGGTTATTTCTGTTTCTTGGTTTTCCTTCTGACAGTCTGGCCCCTCTGCTGTAGGTCTGCTGAGGTTCACTCCAGGCCCTGCTTGCCTGGGGTTCACCTGCAGCAGCTGCTGAACAGCAAGGGTTGTTACCAGTTTTCTTCTTCTGCTATCTTTGTCCCAGACGGATACCCGCCTAGTGTCAATCTTATCTCTCTTTTATGAGGTGTCTTTTTGGATATATAGGGGTCAGGGAGCTGCTTGAGGAGACGGTCTCTTCTTTATAGGAGCTCAAATGGTGAGCTGTGAGCTCTGTTGTTGTTCATTCAGAGCTGCTGGGCAGGTACTTTTAGGTCTGCTGCAGCAGAACTCATAAACTGCTTTTTGTTCCTAGGTGCTCTGTTCCAGGGGTTTAGGGCTTTATTTATGAGTTTCCGTTATGCTGCCGCCTTCTTTTTTTTTTTTTTTTCCTTCAGACCTGCCCAGCCCAGCAAGTAGGCAGCCTTGGTGGCCTATAGCAGCTTTGCTGAGCTGCTGTGGGCTCCGCCCCGCTGCCGAGTGAACGTCCCTGCAGTCCTGTTTATATGGGTGTAGTTAGAACTGCTTTGGCGATGGTGGCCCACCTCTGTTGAGGCGGAGTCTCTTTGGTGCGGCGGATTGCCTTGGCAATGGCGCGCTGCCTTGGTAATGGCATACGCCCCTCCCCCACAGAGCTGGACTGTCCCGGTTTCAGCTGCGCTTGCTGTGAAACTCTCAATCCAGAGTTTCTGGTTGCTGTTCTTTTGTGGGGGTGGGGCCAGCTGAGCCTGATCGCCTGGCTCCCTGCCTCAGAACCTTTTTTAAGTTGGTGTTCCAGTCGCCTGTTGAAGAGGCGCCGGGGTCTGTTTGTTTTCCCCTGCGGCCACTCACTGCGCTGGCTTAAACAGCGGCACTGAGGTTTGTGGCGCTTTTTTTTTTTTGCCCTGGAATCTACTGTCCTGGTTCTCTGCTCAGTCCCCTTTTTGAACTGGCGAATGGGTGACTTCCTGTGGCTCCAATCGCCAGCCAAAAGGGCACCCGGACCAGTGTATTTTGTACGGAGAACCGCGGCTCCGGGGCGCCGACATAGCAGCCGCGCTGGCCGAAACAGCCATGCTGGCGACCGTGGAGCTTCTCCGCCCGGGAATTTCCTAGTCTGTGGGCAATAAAAACGTGGCGTCCACTCACCCTCTGCGCTTTCACTGGGAGCTGCAATTCTGAGCTGTTCCTAAACGGCCATCTTGTATCCTTGCCTCTTTCCCTTCTTAATATAGTCTGTAAATATTGGAATTCCTCAGGACTTCATTCTGGTTGCTCTTTTCTTCTTTATTGTTTTACATCTTCATGGACATTCCACTCACTCTTATGACATTACCATTTGTCTATATGCTGATTACTCTTCCAGTACCACAAATCCAGAATTTTTTATTTACCTACTTAATAATGACACTTCAGTGTATCTCAGACAAGCCAAAATGAAGATGTTCCAAACTGAACATTTGATATCCACTTGCTAAACCTGTCCCTCAATCATTATTCTCCATTTTAGTAAATATCTTCACTTCATAAACATAGGGGTCATTATTTATACCTCCTTTTATCTTTTATGTTCAGTGAAATACCAAACTCTGTAGATAAATCCTACAAAATACATTCCAAATAGATAAAATACTTTTCATTTCTGTTACCAGTATGCAGCACTGTTTTTATTGTGTATTTTATTGCTCCTTCTATTATTTACTTTTTCCTAACTTTTATTCTAGGTTCAGAACATACATATGCAGGTTTGTTACATGGGTAAATTGCATGTTGTGGGGGTTGAGGGTACAGATTATTTCATCATTCATGTAATGAGCACAGTACCTAAAAGGCAGTTGTTCAATATTCATCCTCCTAACCCCCTCCATCATCAAGTAGACCTCAGTGTCTATTGTTCCTTTCTTTGTGTCAATGTGCGCTCAATATTTAGCTAACACATGCAAGTGAGAACATGTGGTATTTTGTTTTCTGTTCCTACATTAATTTGCTTATGCTAATGGTCTCCAAATCCATACATGTTGCTGCTCAAGATATGATTTTGTTCTATTTTTGTGGCTACATCATAGTATTATATGTTGTATATGTACCACATTTTCTTTATCCAGTCCACTGTTAATGGATGGGCATTTAGGTTTATTCCATGAGTTTGCTATTGTGAATAGTGCCGCGATGAACATACACATGCATGTGACTTTTTCGTAGAATAATTTATATTTCTTTCCAGTATTCCACTCTCTGAAGGAAACCCTTTCTGATCTCTCTTAATCATTCTTTTTGTGTGAAACTTCAGAACACAATGCACCTATTCTTCATATTACTTGCTGCTGCCACATTTTGCATTTTCAAAATAATTAGGTAAATAAATATCTGCATCTTTCACTAGGTTGTAAGTTCCATAAGAGTCTTGTTTTAGTCTATTGTGTACAATACCTGATACACAAGAGGCATCCAATAAATAATTATTAAATGAATTATAGAATGCCATAGTAATTTTTAGCAACAAGTGCACATTCATCATGTTCCAGGAACTTTGGAAAGTGTTATACATAAATTATCCCATTTAATCATCTCAATTATCTTATGAAGAGAGTACTATTATTATATTATTTTATATAGATAATGAACACTGGGCCTAAATAATCCAAAAATATTTCTCAAATTTACGTAACTAGTAAAAGGCAGAAAAACAATCTAAATCTATTTCTATTAGGCTCCAAAGTTTGTGTTTATTAGAAATTCAAACTCTTCCGGTTTGTCTTTGCCAGAATAGTTTATCTGGACTTTTGGTTGCTATCACAAGCCTTAATACAAAATGTTGTCTTATATTCTCATTTCCAGGAGGTCACTACTACATATTACTGGTTAAAATTTTTAGGAAGCCTTAGGTTTGTTTTTCAGTGATTCATTTAAGCAGGTGAAAAATCCTACATATAAATGCCATTTTCTGTCGAATGAAACCTCTATTTTCCTATTAGTGCTTGTATTTCACATATAATACATATATTTTGGCATATACATCACCTCATGCAAGAAATATTAACATTACAATGTATAATGCTTTCCAATATAATACAAGGTTTTGAAAAACACTGTTCCATTACATTTAATAAATCAGGTCTTAGGTCGATGTGTGAAATACTGACTGACTTACTCAGCACCCAGGAAAATTTGAAGTAGTTTTGGTACTATTTTCACAGTGTATGCCTTCTCTTAATATTGATAGATGCTTTTGTTTCTGAGCTGCACAATAACCTGAATTTCATACTACAGTATCATATTTATGTTGTTTCAACATATTAATGATGACAGACTCATTCCCTATTAGGAGCTATAGGGTGTCTTTTGACTTTTATAAATGTGTGAATTAAGTGGCACTATTAGGAGTACGGTTTGCTTGTGTTTTTTAACTATGTGTTGCCTTTTAATTATAATCACCATATTGTGCAATTCTAGGGGTCTCAATCTATACTTTAGTTTATATAAATGATTCCTAAGGAGTTTCATAGTGCACAGCCTGTGAGGCCATACATTGTGAAGTATCATCTTCTCATTCTTATTCATACATAAATAGTGAAGAAATTCCATACGTTAATCACAGAAACTTAAAACGAATACTTTGCTCATTATGTCCTCTGTTACCAACATAATAAATGTCTTACTTGTCCACACCTGAATCTACATATAGTAATGTCTTATATACTTCACTTCCAAATATTCTTGTATTAATTAGGCCCCTTGGTGACAAACACCTGAAAGCGACTCTAACAAGTTAAGCAAAAACAAATTTAGCAAAAGATACTGAGGGCTCACAGAAGTGATAAAAGGCTCACAGAAATGATAAAAGATCAGGAGGATCTATGAAAGCAAGGAGTAGAAAACAAAAAACACAGCTTCTGTCTTTTAGAAGGGCCAACCCATTTAGTAGATATTGCTGGCTTGTCAGGGTTTCTGCCATTACCACCACAGCTGCTATGGTAATAGATACATCAAAATATGTGTCCTGATTTAATACTTTATCTAAAATTTAAAGTCCACAGAAAGAGTGTTTCATTGGCTGAGATTAGGTCATGCGTCCAATCTCCTGATCCTCTCAGCGCCATAGTCAGAGTCATGAAATGAAACAGTGGCAGATGGGTACAGGGAATCATCACTATGCCAATACCACACGTAATGAAGAAGTAGTAAATCCCCAAAAGTAAACTGAAATGCTATTAGGAAGGATGTGGTTTCTGGCAGTCAAAAATCCCTCAATTTGAGTAATGTCTGCTAGAAGCTCTCTTTCATGTCAATTATGGGTTCCACTTGCATTACCTACTTCTCACTTGTGATACTGCACATCATCTTTTCTTATGTAAACTGATTTTGTAGTTTTATGTCCCTGATACTGTTGAAATCAAGTACACTATCTTGGTTAACAGAAGGAGATATTAACGGAATAAAATATAAGAAACATAATATTAGCATCCCACTTCAATATTGTTCCTCTTCTACTAGATTTTTTTTTTAAAAAGACACTAACAATTTTACTATTTTCCAAGCATGAACCTGAGAACAAAAGAACACCAAATTGCCTAAAATTCTCTGGCTGCTGCGCTCTTTAAACTGTATCTACCTAGGGGTCATTAATAAAATGATGTTGCATTGAACACAGATGGAATTCTCTCATACCATATTGGAAGAACATTGCATAGCATAGTGATTTATTTACTTCCTCATCTCTGTCCTGATTCCATTTTTTTCTCATCTTTACTCATCTGACTAAAACAAGACTCTTATGAAACTTGCAACCTCATGAAAGATGCAGATATTTATTGACCTTATCTGTACTTGTATTTTACTATGACCTTAGCTCTGACTTTAGTAACATGATTAATCACCTAATTTGGGCTGGGACTGAATTTCCTCGATCTGTCTTCTGTTTGCTTCTTAAAACTGTGAACTACATTGCTCAATTCCTTGTTTCATCTATTTCAGAACCTTTGAGTTATAGCAATTTTATTATGTTCCTGCAATGTGATCTACTCTCTGCTGTGCTTCAGGACAGTCCAGGATCTTTTCCTCATGACCAAAGCAATATGTCAAGGAGTGATTTTTTCAATTGCTCCCACAAAATGGATTCTGTCTGGTATGTTTCTGTTTGTTCTGATCTTTTGCTTCCCTCTAGTGGCCAATGTTTGCATATGTATATGAGGCTAGCAAACGTGTGTGTGTGTGTGTGTGTGTGTGCGTGTCTGTGTAAAATTAATGGAATTTCTATGGTTTTCATCTCATCACTCCATTGCTAGCCGTATATATATGTATGCACACACAAACATATATATATATATATGTTTATATATGATCTATATGTGTATATATTTGATGTATATCATATATATGATTTTTGTGTCTTATATATATCATACATATGTATGTATACATTGTGAACCTCAGAAATCTGAGACAGGTTTCATTTAAATTGGAAAACCTACTTTGCTAAGGCTGAGGATGCATACCTGACACAGCCTCAGGTGGTCCTGATGACATGTGCCCCAGATGGTCAGAGCAGTTTGGTTTCATACATTCTAGGGCGACATGAGACATCAACACATGCAAGATGAACATTGTTTCAGTGTGGAAAGATGGGACAACTCCAAGCATAGATGAGAAGACTCAAAGCGGGGAGAGGACTTTCAGGTCGTAGGTAGATAAGAGACAAATGGTTGCATTACTTTGGGTTTCTGATTAGCCTCTCCAAAAGAGGCAATCAGATATGCATTTATCTCAGTGAGCAGAGGGGTGACTTTGAACAGAATGATAGACAGATTGTCTGTAAGTAGTTTCCAGCTTGACTTTTCCCTTTAGCTTAGTGATTTGGGAGCCCCAAGATTTCTTTTTCTTTCACAATATGTGTATATATATGTATATATTTATAGTATATTACATATGCCATATTTGTATTATATATGTATATATACCATATGTATGTATATACATCATATATGTTATGATATCCTATAAGTATATACGTGTATATATATATATGAGACTAGCAATGAAATAATGAGACAAAAACCATAGAAATTTCATCAATTCAACATCAGATACATTTTTAAACTTTATTGACAAATTTATAAAGAAACTAAATAACTTAAAAGATATACATAGTTTTAAAGGATGCCCATTAGGATTATAAAATTGTTTTGAGATAAAAACAATAATATTTGCCTTACCCCTCTACTTCTAATACTGTTTCTTATATTTTATCCTTCTAGGTTGTATATGTCAGAGGAGATCACATCTTACCAAAGGAAAAAAAAAAAAGATCAAGAGAAGATGAAAAGAACAAAAATGTGAATATATAGTAATAAAATTAAAGTAAATCCTATTTTTTACAATCTCTGAGGGAACAAAACTATTCGTTCTGTTGATGGGGATTTATTTTCCTTTTGCTTACTTATAAGAAAGCGAAAGATATTTCATTGACATAGAAATTGATAGTTTCAGGAATATCAGAGTAGATAGCAGTGAGTAGAAAGAAAACAAAAATGGCAACTCTTATTTATTTTTTCTATGAATATACTATTATTTCTACTTTTACTTCTGCTACTACTATTACCATAATGACAATGAAGATAACTACTACTACTACCACTATCATAGTGACCTCATAATAATAACAATTAATGTAAATCAAGCAATAACTTTATACTAGGGAATGTGTTAATCACTTTACATACATCTTATTTAATTCCCACAGCAATGCTCAGAGGCAGATACTATTGTTAGCTCTAACTTACATCCTGTATACCTTAGGATTAAACAAGTTTTGTTGTGGGACTGAAGAAACTCCCTAGCATCCACAAACAAGTTTATTGGGGATCTGAATGAACTCCCCAAAACTCCATGATTTAGCAGGAGACAAGATAAGGGTAGATAGAGGAAGACATCCTAAGGTATACAGCAGCTGCAAGCCTGCCTGCCACTGAAGTTTATTCAGGGCCTGAGCCTGCCGAAGTCAGTTGGTGAAGCAAGAGAAGAGAGGCAGAGTAAGATGGCAGAGTAGGACTCTCCCTCAATTGAAACATCCCTCAGTAGGGATTATCCCTCAATAGAAACATCAATTTGAACAACTATCCACACATGAGAAAATCTTCACAAGACTCAGGATACCAGGTGAGAAATAATTACACCTGGTTTTAGCATAATAATTTAAAAGATACATCGAAGAGGGTAGACAGGGCACTTTTATTACCTACGTCACCCGTCCCCCAACCTCAGACAGCACAGCACTGAGAGGGACAACATTCACTGAAGGAGAGGGACATAAGCACAAGACTATGCCTTAGAATCCAGTACCAGGCCTGACACAAAAAAGCCCAGCACCAGGGAGAATCCCATGTCCCCTGTTCCTGGACCAAATTGAGTGTCGGACTGCTATTTCTCATTGCCCAGTAAAGATGCAGATGAATTGCAGAGGAAGAGAGTTTTTATTTCTGCAACTGGCTACAGGGAGAAGGCCTGGAAATTATCGCCAGACCAACTCAAAATTACAAAGTTTTTTGGAGCTTATATACCTTCTGAGTTATATGTCTACGTGTAAGTATGCATTCTTCTTAAGACATGTGATTAACTTCTTTAAATCTGTAACCAGGGTCTGAGTCCTCAAGACCTTCCTCTGAAATCTCAGTAAATTTACTTAATCTAAATGGGTTCAGGTACTGGGGTGATTACCCTTATCTTGTCTCCTGCTAAATCATGGAGTTTTGGGGAGTTCATTCAGATCCCCAATAAACTTGTTTGTGGATGCTAGGGAGTTTCTTCAGTCCCACAACAAAACTTGTTTAATCCTAAATGGGTCCTATTAAGAACTCTTTTGTTATTTTGTTGTGCTTTAATGCCCAGGAAAGGCTTAGGCAAAACTTGGTGAGCTTTTGTTACATCCCAGACTTTTTATGAGGGCACTGGCTTTTCATATTCAACTTAACCTCTCAGTCCATACTGAAACAGTTGTTATGGAGGTCTGTGTTAGTGAGACCTGGCCTGCCACACCCTAACACCAGGCCAATACCCTGAACAGAACCTCTACACTTTCCATGGTTCCAGAGAACAACCAACAATCCCAGCAGGAAGGACTGAAGTTCTGGCCCATAGTACTGCCAGCCAACTCCAGCTGACTCAAGCCCCAAATAAACCTCAGCAGCAGGTAGTCTGTAGATGTTGCAGGCTTTTAGGCATGACCCAGAGACAGATATCAGCCTGTGCCTCTGACAGAATGGATTTCAGTTCTGGCTTGCATCACTGCTGACCAACTACAGCAGTCTTGGGGTGTGAATAAAACTCATCATAAGGTATGCCATAGCTGCCATGGACCTTAGGCATGTCCTGTTGCCAGATGGGGATGCATGACCCTGGTGGGATAGACTAAAATTCTGGCCCACATTACCACTTGCAAACTGTAGTAGCTTTGAGTCCTAAATAAATGTCAGTGGTGGCCAGGCTGTAGTTGCTATGGAGTGGTCCTAGGTGTGAAAGATAAAAGTCTCCAGACCTCAAAATCACTAAGCCAAAGGGAAAAGTCCAGCTCGAAACTGTGTTAGGCAAATCTGCCTCCCATTTTATTCCTAAATAGGATAGCTACAAAGATAACAAAGCTACATACCTCCTTCACAATTTTTTAACAAGGGAATTTCTTGTGGGCCTCAAGATATTTACCCTAAAACAGTTCTGTTGTATTTCACCCTGGCAATGAAAATTAATAACTTATCTTCACAGATGGAGGACAAAGGACAGACAGAACTAAGCCATCCCTCTGCTCACCTGAGACAAATTGCACATTTTATTGGTTCTTCTGTTCTATTGCTTATGTAAAAATGCACATTCACTAAGCCAGTCTAAAGCATAAATCAGTATTTCTCTACCCCACCCGACATGTAAATTGTATTTTCAGTGAAAGGCTAATGACAGACTCAAAATAATGCAACCATTTGTCTCTTATCCACCTATGACATAAAAGCCCTCCAACTTTGAGTTGTCCTGCCTTTCAGGACTGAACCAATATATAGCTTATACATATTGATTGATATCTCATGTCTCCCTAAAATGTATCAAACCAAGCTATGCTCTGACCACCTTAGGCACATGTCTTCAAGACCTCCTGAGGCTGCGTCACAAGTACATCCTTAACCTTGGCAAAATAAACTTTCTAAATTGATTGAGACCTGTCTCAGATACTTTTGGGTTCACAGATCCATTATCATAAAAAAATTCTGAGTGGAGGTGCCCCTGACCTTTGACAAATCTCCTTTTGGTGCTTGGTAGTAGTTTGAGCTATCCTTGTGACTCAAACTAATAGGACAATTTGCTGAGACCTAGGAGATCCCAGCTTCCAGAGAATCCCTAATCTCCCCAAATTTGATTGAGATCTAAAGTTTATTTTGCTGTACAACTATTTTTTTTAGAGTTTTAATTGCTTCCAACAAGGAAGGCAAGTTTTCCTGTTTCCATGATAATGTAGAGCAGGCAACTCCTTTTTGGAGTTTCGGATAATTTCCAACGGGAAAGGCAAGTTTGAGGCTTTTGTTCTCTGCTTCTAAGACGCTAGAGAGAAGTCTTGAGCCAGGGCCCCATTCCCAGCTATGTAGCTAAATTTGAGTTTTTGTCTAGGAAATTCTTTTTAAAGACTAAAAGTTAAAATTGACAAATAGCTGGTCTTAATTTTCTCTTATTATTAGGGTGCTCACTAGTCCTATAAATTGTGCAATCATTTGTTTTGCTTAGCTTTTTTGTTGCTGTTTTTCTGTTTTTGTTGTGGTTTCAGTCTTGGTCCTATTGGGTTTGATCAACTTTATTCAGCTTGGTCAAATCCAAAGGAGATTTCCGAATTATGGGGAACAAGGATTCTGAATTGGCTTAATTCTTGCAACTAATAATAAAAAAGGAAAAGAGAAAATGACCAGCAAAAAGAAGAAAAAGAAAAGATTTTTACTACCTAAAGGGCTTTATTTACATAACAAAGCTACCTTTTCATTAGCCAAGCCAAACAGAAAGGGCAATGTCTGTTGCCTGCCCTGAAGTGCGCTTCTGTTTCTAAGGTTCTGCCCTTTTTTTCCACCATCGCATCCTGGGTTTGATTTCTAAATCAAGTCCTTTCTTGATTGATATTTATGTTACTTTTGAAATATCAGCAATTTGTCCCAGCTAAAATATGGTAATGGGATTTAAATGATTTTTTTTTTTTTGAGATGAAGTCTTACTCTGTTGCCCAGGCTGTAGTGCAGTGGCACAATCTCAGCTCACCACAGCCTCTGCCTCCTGTGTTCAAGTGATTCTCAAGCCACATCCTCCTGAGTAGTTGAGACCACAAGCACACACCACCACGCCCAGCTAATTTTTGTATTTTTAGTAGAGATAGATTTCCACAGTGTTGGCCAAGCTGGTCTCAAACAACTGATCTCAAATGATTCACCCACCTACAGAAGATCTGGGATTACAGGCATGAACCACCAAACCCGGCCTAAAATGATTTTTTTTAAGGACTTCAATGCTAAAAGGCAGCTTAATTAAAAGCTAATATCCAAGATATATGTGCGTGCGTGTGTGTGTGTGTGTGTGTGTGTGTGTGTGTGTGTGGTGTATTTTTATTTTTTACAGTCTTTATGCTTTTTTAAAAATCTTATAGGACATTGATATTTTTCTTAAAAAAAGGTTTTGTTTGCGTTTTTCCTTCTCAGTCAATGGAATTCTGTTTTCTCCATTTATTGTTGACTTTCTCACCTTTGTCTTGCCACCCTTTGCTGCATGAGGGACCTAAAAGAGTTTCTAACACCCTAGGATTTCTTAAAGAAAATAGAGAAGGTGCCAAACTCCCTTCTGGGAATAAATCTCTATTTTTCCTTATGGAACCCCAAAAATGGAAACAGACAAATTGCTCTCAGATTTTAAACTGCTTGATTTTGCATTGTTACCTGATTTATTTTTTACTGAAATAGTTATTACAACAGGGACTACTCCTGGGTGCTTAAAATAAGAAAGAATGTAGTTTAGATACTTAGAGAAATGTCTTTTTTTTTTTTTTAAGTGCACTGTAAAAGCATCATGTGATCTATCCTGAGGATAATTCTCTCTTTTTTGGAGACTCAGGATTCAGTGTGGACTTTGCCCGGAGCTCAGAGATAGGGTTAAAAGAGATCTATAAAGGCTAAATTTAGAACTACATATCTAATAAAATTGGTCTCCTTATACAATTCTTTGATAGATTTATATGATTTTATGTCTGATTTGGCATCCATATTTAATCTCCATCTAGCA